TTTCTGGCTTCTAGTCTTGAATCTGTAAATGACCGGCGAATTTAGTCATCAACAGCATCATCATAAAGGAAGTGATCATTAAAGAACTTGGGTACGTGAGAAAAACTGATGATATATATATATACATATAAAGACATTTTTATGTTTATACATTCTTTTTATAGACACAAATATTTAAGTAAATGTTCTGTTTTTATAATTAACAGTATTAAACAACATTTACTGGCCTGAATGTCCGAAAAATTTTCATAGAAATTATTTGTCCTCCAACAGGAATCGAACCTGTATCCTATACAGTCATATAGCCTGACGTGCCTTTAACCGATTTGGCCACAGAGGAGCGTTCGGCAAGCAAGGTCGAATTTACTGCCTTTAAACTTCAATCTTCCATGAATCTCCCACGTACATTCATATCTGCTCAAAGCGTATCCAAATGTAAACAAATGACGTCACACATTATGAAATGGACAAAGTCCGACAATTATAAGACATATTAATCTTTATACATTCTTTTTATAGATACAATATATATAGAAAGAAAGAATGAAAAGAAAGATATATAATCCGGCGTTCTTATTGGTATTTTTATCTTTACAAAATAGTGCTCAATGTAAATTTACAGAGCATAAATATTATAAATTAACTGATTTAAAATATGTTTCTTCGCTACACAGTAATAACCATGTTTCAAAAATGGAAGCTAAAAACTTGAAGAGAAAACGGAACTAATGATTTTAATTTAATTATATAATTAAATTTAATGTTTTTAGTTTCCATTTTTGAAACATGGCTATTACTGTGTAGCGAAAAAACATTTTTAAATCAGTTAATTTATAATATATATATATATATATATATATTTATGGGTAATAACCCGTCTGTAAATAATCCAAGTGAATCCTAATAATATAAAATGTTAAAACTGCTCCACAAAAAGAGCTCAATGTATTTCTTATAACAGAGCATATAAATTACATAGAAAAAAATCCAAAGTTACCTCATTCAAATAGCTATTTCAACCCACAAGATTTACTTGTCAACTCATATCTCTAAGTTAACAAGACCAACAGGTACATCTTGAGCGTCGAAATACCTATTTGAATGAGATAACTTTGGATTTTCATACTATGTAAGAGTTCTCATGTTTCAAAACAAGAGCCGAAAACTTATTTGAATTTAATTGAATTAAAGTACCAAGCTCTGTTCCATCTTCAAGCGAAATTTTTTTGGGAATAACTAATTCCTCAAATTTACGCGTTTTATATGGTCATTATTAAAATTAAATTTACTATGGTAACGGTTAGAGAAATTGTTTAAAGAAAAGGAGCGTATGGTTTAATAATTTGTATAAATATCTCAGTTACATTCACAGACGTCAAGTCAGGGTAAGGTTGGGGTGTTTAAATTTAAAGCGGAAGATGACATCGTCTAGTCTGGTTAAGTGTCTATGGAGATTTATTATTTTTTTTATTTTTATTTTTTTCTGAATTATTTTGTGTGCACAAAAAACTCATAATTCGCTAACATATACATGCATATATATTTGTGTGTGTGTGTGTTAGAAAAAACACTGTGCTAATGTCGAAGTACTCGCAATAAAGGATTGACCGTGAATATGACAGGATCATATTTAAAATAAGTAAACAAAATTTGTTTAAATTGTTCAATTGGACATGTCTTAATGAAAACATGGTGCAAAAATATACGCAGTACATACATATATATATATACATACACAAAACACTCGCACACACATATATATATATATAAAACAACTATATAAATATACATATACATATATTTAAATTGTGTGTATTTAGGCAGCATTTTTATCATTGATGCATGTTTCATTAAATAATATAGACAAGTTTTGTCTATTTACAAAAAAAGAATTTACATACAATAAATAGACAAAACTTGTCTTATATATATATATATATGTATATATATATATATATATATAACTTTGGACTTGAAATGAGAATTATAAAGAAAAGAACATCGAGAAGGTCTGTATGAACACCATCATTTTCGTGTCAGATATCTGAAATAGAAAATTATATAGAGGTGACTAGACTTTCGAGCCTCCCAGTATGTTACCGATTTTTCCTACCTTGTCAATATATATATATATATATATATATATATATATGAAATACTACATGCTATAGGGTGGTCCGAAAGTCTTGTCACCCCTACCAAAAATTTACAGAGAACTATTGAACAAGATGTAATACAATAATCGAAAGCACCTGGCTGGATTCAGTTTATTCACTTTCATTGGCGCCCCCCTCTCCCGACACACACACATCGAGAAGGTCTGTATGAACTGTAGGAGCTCTTGTCAACCATCTGAAATCGAAAACTATGTTGTTTTGGGGTGACAAAACTTTCGGACCACCCTGTGTATATATATATATATATATATATATATATATATATATATATATATATATATATATATAAATATATAATATTAGTGGTAAAAATACACGTACATATAAATTTGTATTAAAAAAAAAAATTATTCCAAGTGGATAGAATCCAGGTAGAACTCAATGTCCAGGACAGAGTAAGGATATAATAAAAAGGCTTAAACACTAATATTCCATGGTCATAATTTATTCCATTGGAATCGTAAATACGATCCAATTCATCAGACCTACAAATTTATGAAAAACTTGGTAATCCGTATGGGTAGTCCCAAGAAGGATGAAATCCTGAGAGCTCAATGTAAATCCAGAGCTAATTTTTTTGTGGGGAGTGGGGAGTGTTATCTGATGATCCGGCGTCCTTTAAAAGGGATCTGGTGAAATAAATTATTATAATGGAACCTTAAAGTGGTCTGTTTTTCTTTATATATATATATATATATATATATATATATATATATATATATATATATATATATATATATGCTGTATGGATATAGATGTGGATACAGACAGCCGAATACAGACATGAACAGGCCAGATTTTAATTGTTCCGCCAACCATGACAACAATTTTATTTTCAACACTTAAGCTCCATGCATAGCAGAGAAGAAGTTACAATCTCGGAACGTGATGTAAGAAAAGCAATTGGGTTTCCGATTTTTAAAGAAAGTGAAAAAAACAAAATGGCTGCTGGCAATGTCGAAATGAAGGCGAGAAAAAGTAAGAATTTCGCAGGGAGAATGAAGTTGCGCAAAATAAAAAAAAATACAAAAAGATTTGGCAAGGAAGTGGCACTTATGCAGTTCTTGTAAAAAGAACGAAAGAGGCGGTTAAAAAAAAAGGCAACAATAATGGTGATTTGAACAGAATAAGTTCTTTTGGCTTTGTTCTCCCGAGAAATGAACCCACTATGGACAATCGAACAAGAATTTACACAAGAACACCTGGCTTTGTCATTTTTGCATTAATATTTTCCTACAGAAACTTTCTTGAATAGCCATTTTAAACTACCAACTCATATATATATATATATATATATATATGTGTGTGTGTGTGTGTGTGTGTGTGTGTGTGTGTGTGTGTGTGTGTGTGTGTGTGTGTGTGTGTGTGTAAAGGGTGTAAATTGTGCAAGTCGTGTAACAGAAAAATTGTCCAGTTGTTAGATTAAGCTTTGAAACATTGTAGCTTAGTAATGACTAGCAGGAGAGCCCGGCGTTGTCCGGGGATGTAACAGTAAGAGATAGATCAAGTATCGACCATCATAAAGACTGAAAAATAAAATTGACAAAGATTATTGTTTAAGGTTGACGGACACGCATGTCTTAATTAGTTTTTGTTTTTTGTTTTTTATACGAATTGGTCAAACTCAAACAAAAACATTGTTTTCAATTGTTATGAGTCTACCGATTGAATAGAATTTTATTATAAACAATTGTCTTGTAAATGGAATTTTGAAAGCATTCTGAATGTAAAAATAAAGAAAAAAGTGTGCAAGACAATAAGAAACACTGCCAAAAAAAAAGTTTTGTAGGAAATATGATCCCATATATAAACGAACACACACAACCAACCTGGGTTTTATAATAAGTATAACTCGATAACTCGATATGAGTTGCCCCCCTTTCATTCTGGCGACAGAATCGTGTTTTATCGTGTTTTCAAATTGATTTCATACAAAAACAATTGTGTTTTTCCAATTTTTGGCGCTGTCAGAACCACCGCAAGGTAATTTTACGTAGTCCTGTGAAGTTTTGTTCAAATCGGTTGAAAAATGTAGGAAATCCGATCACTCATGTCATCCTGAGAAAGCTCTATGTGCCGTTCAATAGATATGTTATTTCAATCCTCGGGTCGAATGGTAGGGACAAACATCTTGACAGGACACGGAATATAAAGAAGAAGCTTATCGCTTGACTATTCTCCTAAACAGGAAGAAATCAACAATTGATCCGCGGTCTAATAACAAATGATCAACGCCCCAGTAACAAATGATCAGCGTCCCAGTAACAAATGATCGGTCGCCCGGCAACGAATGATCCGCGGCCCAGTAACAAATGATCGGTCGCCCGGTAACGAATGATCCGCGGCCCGGTAACAAATGATCGGCGGCCCGGTAACAAATGATCGGCGGCCCATTAACGAATGATCTGGAGCCCGGTAACAAATGATCCACGGCCCAATAACGAATGATCCGCGGCCCGGTAACCAATGATCAGCATCCCGGTAATAAATGATCGGCGGCCGGTAACGAATGATCAGCGGCCCGGTAACCAATGATCCGCGGTCCAGTGACAAATGATCCGCCATCCGCCCGGTAATAACGAATGATCAGCGTCCCAGTAACGAATGATCAGCGGCCCGGTAACGTATGATCCGCAACTCGGTACCGAATGATCTGCGGTCCGGTAATAAATGATCAGCGGCCCGATAACAAATTATCAGCGGCCTGATAACGAATGATCAGCGGCCCAATAACGAATGATCCGCGGCCCGGTAACCAATGATCAGCATCCCGGTAATAAATGATCGGCGGCCGGTAACGAATGATCAGCGGCCCGGTAACGAATGATCCGCGGCCCAGTGACAAATGATCCGCGACTCGTTAACGAATGATCCGCCATCCGCCCGGTAATAAATAATCCGCGGCTCGGTAACAAATGATCAGCGACCCGATAACAACTGATCAGCGGCCCATTAACAAATGATCCGCCACTCGGTAACGAATGATCCGCCATCCTGGTAACAAGTGATCCGTGACTCGGTAACCAATGAACAGTGGCCCGTTAACAAATGATCCGCGACTCGATAACAAAGGATCCGTGACCCGGTAACAAATGATCCGCTACCCTTCAGATTATGGCTCTCCACAATTTCCTATAGCAATTAATAAATTTTCTTTTTTGTCCTAAATCTTCTCCTGCCGTCCATTTACTAAATAGGTTCTGCGTTGTTTTCCTCTATCCCTCTTGCCTTCATTTTGTCCTGTGGGTATCATATTTTCCAAGCACTCTTTCCTCATCATGTCTCTTAGAAATTTCAATTGTCTGTTTCTGATGTTAAGGTTCCTTTTTGTTACTCTAAAACTTCGTTGTTGCTCACATGTTAGAGGAGATCGTCCAGTATTCACTGCCATATAGGAGGACAGATATCCCGTCACAGTTTAGTGCTTTTGTTTCTTTGTTTCTAGAGAGTTTTTTTTCCTGATTTTTAATACTTTGCTTAGGTTTTGGAAGGTATCTTTGACTAAACCAATGAGCCTCCAAATATTTAGTGTCATCCTTTCTGTCTACTGTTAAAAAAACTTCCCAGATATTTAAATTTCCGCACTTTTTTATTTTACTATCTTTGATTTACAATTCGCAAGTCGCGTTCATCCCTTTGCTAACAACCATGCATTTTGTCTTCTTGCAGTTGATGCTTAGTCCTTTCTTCTCGCTTTCTTTTACTGTCATCTGTAGGAGTTTTTTTGTAGTTTTCTTTCTGTGTCTGCTATCAATACTGTGTTTTCTGCATATCTTATATTGTTAAGATTGTGGCTACTAATAATGTATCCTCTTGGAATTGCCTTACTATATAAGTTAACCGAGTCTGGTGAATATAAGCACGAGTTACGTAAGAAGAATGAACTATAAGTTATCAAATGGGCAATGGGATGAGAACAATCTATTGCCATTGATTAAATAAAGTGTTTGCTTCGAAATTACCAGGTTATGAACACAGACAACTGAAAACCGAGAAAATGCAAATAATAGCTATTTCCCTCTTTTTCAGGACGATTATGGCTCTCCATAATTTCCTGTACTTCGTAGCACTTAATAAATTTTCTTATTTTAATCTGTCCTGTCAGATTTTCCAAGCCTTCCTTCCACATTATATGCCATAGAAACCTCAACCGTTTCTCCCTGATGTTAATTATAAATTTCCATTTTGTTTCCATTTTCTCTAAAACTTCGTCCTTACTCACATGTTCAGTCCATGGTATCCTCAGCATCCTTCTGTACAACCACATTTCAGTTTTTTTCAAGTCTCGCCTTCATCTCTGAGGAGATTGTCCAGCACTCACTGTCATACATGAGGATAGATATTACGTAACAGTTTAGTACTCTTTACCTTGTTTCTAGCGAATTTTTCCTATTTCTTAATACTCTGCTTAGCTTTTGGAAGGCATCTTTGGCTATCCAAATGTGCCTTCGGATTTCGGTATCACACTTTCTGTCCTCTGTTAAAACCCTTCCCAGATATTTAAATTTACACACTTGTTTGCACTTTGGGCTCATCCTCTATTTAATCTTCTATTCTCACTTACCTTTATGCAATCATAGCTCCCCACAACTTCCTGTCCCTTGTAGCTCTTCATAAACTTTCTTTTTGTTATTTCTCCTTAGCCCTGTTCCGACATCCATTTATTCAAGCTCATTAAGCATGTTATCTATTGTTTTCATCTCCCCCTCTTGCCCTCTATCTGCCCTGTGAGTATCAGATTTTCCAAACCCTCCTTCCTCATTATATGCCCTAGAAACCTCAACTGTCTCTTCCTGATGTTAATTATAAGTTTCCTTTTTGTTTCTTTTTTCTCTAAAACTTCGTCATTGATCATATGTTCGGGCCAAGGTATCCTCAGCATCCTTCTGTAGAACTACACTTCATCTTTGAAGAGATCATCCAGCACTCACCGACATATAGGATGCACATATCACGTAGCGATTTAGTACACGTTTCCTTGTTTCTAGAGAAGTTTTCCTATTTCTTAGTACTCTGCTTAGCTTTTGGAAGGCATCTTTCGTTCTTTCGGTGGCACTGTTTCTGTCCTCTGTTAAAACCCTTCCCAGATATTCAAATTTCCGCACTTGTTTGATTTTGGTATCTCCGACTCGCACTTTGGGCTCATTCTTTTGCTAACAACCATGAATTCTGTCTTCTTGCAGTTAGTGTTTGATCCTCTATTCTCACTTACCTTTATGCGATCATAGCTCTCCACAACTTCCTGTCACTTGTAGCTCTTAATAAACTTTTTTCTGTTATTTCTCCTTGACCCTGTTCCGCCATCCATTTATTCAAGCTCATTATGTTATCCGTTATTTTCCTCTGCCCTTCTTGCCCTCTATCTGTCCCGTGAGTATCAGATTTTCCAAGCCTTCTTTCCTCATTATATGCCCCAGACACCTCAACTGCCTCTACCTGGTGTTAAGTATACATTTCCTTTTTGTTTCCTTTTTCTTTAAAACTTTGTCATTGCTCATATGTTCGGGCAAGGGTGTCCTCAGCATCCTTCTGTAGAAACACACTTTATCTTTGAAGAGATCGTCCAGTATTCACTGACACACAGGAGGACACATATCACGTACGAGTTTAGTACTCCTCTCTTCCTTAATTGTAGAGACATTTTCCTATTTCTTAATACTCTGCTTAGCTTTTGGAAGGCATCTTTCGCTCTGCCAATACGCCTCCGGATTTTGGTGGCACTGTCCTCTGTTAAAACACTTCCCAGATATTTAAATTTCCACACTTTTTTTGATTTTAGTATCTCCGATTCGCACTTTGGTGAATTCTGTCTTCTTGCAATTGATGCTTAGTCCTTTCTTCTCGCTTTCCTTCACTCCCTTCTGTAGAAGGTTTTTGTCATTTTTTTCCGTGTCTGCTATCAACACTGTGTTATCTGTATATCTTATGTTGTTAAGATTGTGTCTACCAATAATGAAACCTTTTTAAGATTTCTAGTTCTCTCAGAATCGCCTCGTTGTATAGGTTGACTGAGTCCGGTGAATACAAGCACGAATTATATAAGAAGAATGAACTATGAGTTACCAAATGGACAATGGAATAAGAACAATCTATTGCCGTTTATTAAATAAAGGGTTCGCTTCGAAATTACCAGAAGCTTATGAACACCGACAGACAACTGAAACCCGAGAAAATGCAAATAATAGCTATTTCCCTTTTTTTTTTCTTTTTTTACGGACTGTTATCTTTTTCTTTGTTGTTTTGAAAATCACAGCAGTTCGGGCAATATTTTTTGAGCATTCCGCGCGTGTATCATTCATTCGACAATTTTTCTGCCTATTTTTGTTTTTTTTTTCTTTTCTGTCGATTGTTATGGAGTCGAACGCGAAAGACTTGCTTAGACTTAGACAATAGGAATTCAGTGGTTATTCGCCATTTGTATTGTGAATAGATGAACAGGCATAGTGAGTAAAGAGTTGGATAAAAGATTGTGTAAGAACACCCAGGAGTGAATCCGGAGTTATTCAGGGTGCTGTGGAGGGCTAGAGCTGTATTCAGATAGACAAACAGAAGTGTCGTTATGGTTTGCTAGAAAAGAGCTTCTCTTCCCCCTCCTTCTTGTTTTTCTTCTCTTCTTAATACTACTACTATTACTCGTACTCCTCCTTCTTCATCATCATATTATTATCCTTCGCCCTGTTCTTCTTCTCCTCTTTCTTCTTCTACTGTTTCTTCTGCTCTTCCTTCACCCCTATTTCCTACACTCCTGCTCATCCTTCTTCACCCTTCTCTTCCCCTCATCCTCTTCCTTCTTCTTACCCTCCTCTTTCTCCTCCTCCTCCTTTTTCGCGTCTTTCTTCTCCTCATCCGTTTTCTTTTCTTCTTCTTTTTGCTTCTACTCCCCTCCTTCTTCTCCTCCCCTTCTACTTCTTCTTCTTCTTCTCGACCTTCTCCTACTCCTTATTCTCCTCCTCCTCCTTCTTCACCCTTCTCTTCCCCTCATCCTCTTCCTACTTCTTCCCCTTCTCTTTCTCCTCCTCCTTTTTCTTGTCCTTCTTCTCCGTTTTCTTCTCTTCCTCCTCTTTTTGCTTCTTCTTCTCCCCTCCTTCTTCTCCTCCCCTTCTACTCCTTCTTCTTCTCCTCTTTTACTCCTCCTTCTTCTACTCTTTCTTCTTCTCCTTCTCGACCTTCTCCTACTCCTTATTCTCCTCCTCCTTCTTCCCCCATCCTTTTTGTCCTCCTTCTCTTCTTTTACTCGTCTTTCTTCACCTCAGCCTTTTCTTCTCGTCCTCCTCCTTTTGCTTCTTATCCTCTTCTTCTTCTTCTTCTTCTTCTTCCTTTTTTCTTTCTCGCCGTCTTCCTCCTCCGCATCTTTCTTCTTTTTTTTTTCTTCTCTTCCTCCTTATTCTTTTGTTCTCCTTCTCCTCCTTTTCCTCCTTCTCCTTCTTTTCTTTCTTCTTCTTTTTCGTCTTCTTTTTCTTCTCGTCTTTCTCTTCCTTATTCTTTTCTTCTTCTTCACCTTATTCTTTTCTTCTGCTCCTTCTTTTCCTCCTCCTCCTCCTTTTCCTCCTCCTCCTTTTCCTCCTCCTCCTCCTCTTTTCCTCCTCCTCCTCCCTTTTTCCTTCATTATGTGAGTACGTGTGCAGTAGCGTCTCTTTCGCCACGTTCACTCTTTATCCTCATCTCTTTGTCCCTGTTCTTTCCCTAAAACATATTCGATACTTACATCTTCCTTATATCCGATAAGTACTAAATTTTCAGCTTTCCAGCTTCCACTGTCATAAAGCAGACAAAATATTACACAGCAATTCAACACTTTTCCTTGTTTCCATCGACATTTTTCTAATGTCTTACCACTTCACCATTCCGATATATCTTCCAGTTTCTGTCCACCATTTCCCGTCGTCTGTCTCTTTCTAAACAGATATTTAAATGTCTACGCCTGCTTGATTCTAACGTCACTAATACGTTATTCATACCATGGACAGTGTCAGCGAGAATGCCCGAAGGCACTGACCTCCAACCTTTTTTATACCACGGACCAGTTTCATGCCGGACAATCTTTCTGCCGTCCGGTAATGGTACATATGTGTAATTTAAGCGCATTTCGATAAAGAGAGCAATAATAATCTATTTATTTATCTATTTATATGTTAATTTATTTATTTATTATTTAGCAATTTATTATAATTTATTTTTATTATTATTTATTGTTATTATTATTTTTTTATTATTTGTTGATTATTATTCATTATTTATTTATTTATTTATTATTATTTATTATTATTATTTATTTATCATTATTATTTATTTCTTATTATTATTTATTTATTATTATTATTTATTTCTTCTTCTTATTTATTTATTATTATTGTTTATTTATTATTATAATTTATTATTATTTATTATTATTATTATTTATTATTTATTTATTATTTTTATTTATTTGTTATTATTATTTATTTATTATTATTATTTATTTATTATTATTATTTATTTATTATTATTTATAATTTAGTTATTATTTTATTTATTTGTTATTATTATTTATTTGTCATTATTTTTATTTATTATTATTATTATTTATTATTATTATTGATTATTATTATTTATTGTTATTGTTTATTTATTATTATTATTTATTATTATTCATTATTATTATTATTATTATTTATTTATTTATTCATTATTATTATTTATTATTTATTTATTATTATTATTTATTTATTATTATTATTTATTTGTTATTATTATTTATTTATTATTACTATTTATTATTATTATTTATTATTATTATTTATTATTTATTTATTATTTTTTATTTATTTGTTATTATTATTTATTTATTATTATTATTTATTATTATTATTTATTTATTATTTATTATTTAGTTATTATTTTATTTATTATTATTATTATTTATTTATTATTACTATTTATTATTATTTATTTTATTATTTATTATTTAGTTATTATTTTATTTATTTGTTATTATTTTTATTTGTTATTATTATTTATTTATTATTATTATTATTTATTATTATTATTGATTATTATTATTTATTGTTATTGTTTATTTATTATTATTATTTATTATTATTCATTATTTATTATTATTATTATTATTTATTTATTATTATTATTTATTTTTTATTATTATTTATTTGTTATTATTGTTTATTTATTATTATTGTTTATTTATTATTATTGTTTATTTATTATTATTATTATTAATTATTATTTATTATTATTATTTATTATTTATTTATTATTATTATTTATTTAAAATTATTCATTATTCATTATTATTATTTATTATTATTATTCATTGTTATTATTTATTATTTATTATTATTATTTTTATTATTATTATTATTTATTTATTATTATTATTTATTTGTTATTATTATTATTATTTATTATTATTATTTATTATTATTATTTATTTATTATTATTATTTATTTATTATTATTATTATTATTATTTATTTAATATTATTATTTATTATTATTGTTTATTTATTATTATTATTTATTTATTGTTATGATTTATAATTCTTTATTATTATTCTGCAATTTATTATTAAAGGGAAGAAAAAGTGTATAAACTGTCATGTCTGGTCTCCAGCCCGATCACACATTTGCATGATTAGCTTTCCTGAATCAATACCTGAATCAATACCTGAATCAATACCTGAATCAATACCTATTATTGTCACATCAATGTTAATTCACCATAATATAGAATCAAGGTAGAATCGATGTAAAATTTACAAAAAAATTAGTTGAAAATTATTACAAATAAATAAAAATATAGATTAATTGGAAAATGTACTTACACTTATGATATACTGTGTGTAACAGCAAAATTGTCCAATTGTTAGATTAAGCTCTGATTAAAGATATCTTACTGGAATTCTCTGAGGTTTTTATAACCCTGTTGGACTCTACTTTGAGAAAAAAGAATGTATAATTATTCTCTAAGCTTAACAGAAAAATCGTGATCGAAATCGATCATAAACGAAAATGGCATGTTCATCATTAATTAATCAGAGCTTAGAATCGGAAGCTCATGAAGGACTGAAATAAATTTCATATATATATATATATATATATATATATATATATATATATATATATATATATATATATATATGTAAGCAAATATATGGATATAAATCCGACAGTATGAAAGAAAAATACAGAAAAACGAAAATCTGAATATGCATTTATGTAGTATTAATGTTAAAATAAAGTCGACTTTTTAATATTTTAATTTTTGGAAATCATCTTCGAATACGTTTTAACAACATCGCCCACGTGACGACTACGTGATCATATTTAAACAAAACGCTGATCTGTATAAAATTTCAGTTATCTGTGTGAATTAGTTGGGCTCTTATGTCCATCGTCTTTTGTGTTAAATTTTTTATAAGTTATAATGTTAATATTGTTTAAATGAAAATGTCCATGAAGATGGTCTTAAATAGACCGAAACGTCCGACGTCGACTTTATTTTAACATTAATACTACATAAATGCATATTCAGATTTTTGTTTTTTCTGTATTTTTCTTTCATATATATATATATATATATAGGTTAGAGAGGGAAAAGATTATCTAGAGTAAGTTGGAAAATGATTCTGTCGTAATATATATATATATTACCTATATATTACCTCAGAATCATTTTCCAACTTACTCAAGATAAACTTCTCCCTCACTAACCTTCTAATTTTAAATCCTGGGTTCACTATTTGCTTATGGCCGGGACCCAAACAGGTGCTACCACCCCGGTTTATACTGGACTTGCGGACAACAGCAATTAAGAGTTCAGTGATCGTACAAGAACCGCTGTTTCAACGTTTCAACCGCATCAATACTAGAAAGAGCGATAACAGTTAGTGGATTTGCAAAACCTATTTTCCTTAAATGTGTTTTGATTGATTGATTGATTGTTTACTCTGCTTAACGGCATATCAACTCCTCATGGGTCATTTAATGCCGAAATTTACATTTCTTCAGAGCTTGGAAGAAATAAAAATAGATTCAATGTTATTCTGCTTTCGCAGTTGAATACATGGTAGCTGATACTCAGCTTTTCTGCATAGGCACGTTTGTGTGAACCTGATTACTAGAGGGGGGGGTCTATGTGTGTTTTATGTTGTAGTTATATTTTGGAGTACAGTTTGATTTAAGAAATACTAGGATATTATACGAATGTCATGAAAGAGTTCTTTCATGTTGGTAACTTGTTAGTATTTTAACCGGATTTACTACCTGTAACAATTCTATGGGACTACACAATACACACTGACAGAACAATCAAGGCCAACCGGCCAGATATTGTTATTAAAGACCACAAACAAAAACGATGCCTCCTTATTGATATGGCAGTCCCTGCTGACTGCAATGTATCTTAGAAGATATTCAAAAAGCTGTCAAAATACAAGGACCTTGAAATAGAAATCGCGAAAATGTGGCATATGGGAACATCAACAATCCCTGTTGTAGTTGGAGCCCTAGGACTGGTTGGAAAAGATTGCAGTAGACTAATTGAAGGGATTCCTGGAAGTCCATGCCTCAAGGAGATACAAAAAATTGTTCTGACAAGTACAGCCCACACCATACGAAGGGCTTTATCTATTTAATTTTTTTTTTTTTTTTTTTTTTTTTTGTCAGAAAGTGTTATGACGCCATTTCTAACCTTAGGTCCCAAGGGACCCGGAAAGAAATGTAAACGCCAAAGAAATCAAAGAAAATAATAATAATAATAATAATAATAATAATAATAATAATACGGGAAGGAAATTACAAGGAAAAGTAATGAACACTGCCCAGACCCGGTTACAGAGTAGGACATGTAACGCTATTATGAGACTTTACAATACACACAGAACAATCAAAGCTAAGAATATACTAATAAAAGTGCTATCAATTAAATGACAATTTTCCTATAGGGCCTAAGGAACCTAATTTGGACTCGACTGTACAGGATATAAAGCAGGAAATATACACAAATAATAATAATAATAATAATAATAATAATAATAATAATAAGAAGAAGAAGAAGAAGAAGAAGAAAAAGTGCTATCAATTAAATGGCAATTTTCTTATAGGACCTAAGAACCATAATTTGAACTCGACTCTACAGGATACAAAGCAGGAAATATAATACACACTCATACTACTACTAATAATAATAATAATAATTTTACTTTTTTTATGTCTTCATTATATAAAAAATAAAAAAAGTAAAATTATTATTATTAAGCGTTCTTTCATGTTGCTAGTTTGGTATATTTTAAACTGATTTGCTACAATTTGTTAGTATATGCGTATTGTTGATACTTTTTTTTTCTTATGTAAAGATGTTTTGGCCCCAGGATAAAGCCCTGATTTCTTGGGAAAAATAGTGGAGTGTTTTTCCATTACCATGACCACTGTTTTGTATTCAGGATTTTCCTTCTTCTAGACTGGCTGCCATCAGAAGCTAGAGTCTCTCCCTTGCTGTTTTTAACCCCGTACCTGGGAATTTTTGGTCTTCCTAAAGTTATTAATTCGAAAATGAGCAGTTGCTCGTTTTTCTCATCAATAACCGTTACACCATACTCAGTCGTAAAATATTTGGATGCTTTTCAGAAAGAAACGGACCAATGAGAGTGGGACACGTAATACGACGCATGCGCACACACTAGCGACAGAAAGAAAAACAAGAAACGAAAAAATGCTGATGGATTTTCCATGTTTTGATGATAAATCTTGGAACGGTAGGAAGAATAAAGAATTATTCCAAGAAAAAAGAGGGGAAGGAACAGAAGGAATATGCGTAGCCCCGAGTTCTTCCTGCTGCATCTACAAAACAAAGCGAATTAGCGAAGTGGGTCAGATCAGGGTCAGGTATTATGAAAAGTAGGTCAGGGTGATAACGGTAGCAGGGCGGCTGTGGGGAGTATTACCCTGCAGGTGGGGGGGGGGGCATGTTTTGCTTGGGTTTGGAAAATGGAAAATGAGATAGGCGGGTGGTGCTTGAAGTGGTTTTCATTTTCTTGCAATACTGCAGCTCTGCATTTCAATCCCCTTTCTATTTTAATCTCCCTAGTTTGCCTTTTTTGTGTATCAGGCTGGATCTGCCTATCTGTTTGCTCATATTCTCTATTCTATCTATCTATATATATATATATATATATATATATATATATATATATATATATATATATAAATAGAGAACCGTGAGATATATAATCCGGTGTTCTTATAGATATTTTATTTTTACAAAATAGTGCTCAATGTAAATTTACAGAGCATTAATATTATAAATTAATTGATTTAAAATATGTGTTTTCGCTACACACAGTTCTAACTTGTTTCAAAAATGGAAGCTAAAAGTTTCAATTTAATTTTGTAATTAAATTAAAGACATTAGTTCCATTTCATCTTCAAGGCAATTTTGGAGTAACTTTTAAAAATACTGGTTTTAAAGGCACAATATACATATGTGTGTGCTCAGATACACACACACACACATATATATATATATAT